TTTTATATTCCAAACCCAGTTCCTCCTCCCTCCTCTCCTCTCATTCCCCTATCCCCTTCCCATCTCCCATCTGCTCCTTGGAGAGGGTAAGGCCTCCCCTAGGAAGTCTACTACATCTGTCCCATCTTCTAGTTGAGGCAGGACCAAGGCTCCTCTCTACCCCCACATCCCTGTGTCTAGGCTGGGCTCGGTACCTCTTCATATAGAATGGGCTCCACTAAGTCAGTTTGTGCATTAGTGTTGGATCTTGAACCCACTGCCAGTGGCCTCATATATTGTCCCAGCTGCACCATTGTCACCTATATTAAGGGAGTTTAGTTCAATCTTATTCGGGTTCCCCATCTGTCAGATCTGAGTCAGTGATTTCTCACTAGCTCGGGTCAGCTGGTTCTGTGTGTTTCCCCAATATGGTCTTGACTCCTTTGTTCAAATTTTCACTCTTCCCTCACTTCAATTGTCCTCCAGGAGCTTGGTCCAATGGTTACTTGTGGATTTCTGCATCTGCTTCCATCTGTTTCTGGAAGAGGGTTCTAGCTTCTCTGAGGTTGTGGATTGTAGGCTGGGTATCTTTTGCTTTATGTCTGGTATCCACTCTTCTTGTTGCCGTTTCTCCATCTGGCTCCACGAGCTCCATCTGTGTTGAGCTCCCTGATGGGGAAGATTAAGGGGTCTTCCAAGACTCACAAAACACGTACCTTGGTCCAGGCCAATCTGAAATGAAAGTGTCCTGAAGCAAGCAGCTAATGTACGGGCAGGACACAGGGTGGATTTGGTGACAGGGGCTTTCTGCATGATGCCTTTGATCTCCTTTGGGACCCTTTCCAACTCAGTTCTGCGCCTGCCTCTGATCTCCTAAAGAGACACCATCAACCCTGGTTCCCGTTCACATTTACTTTGTTCTGTCGTTTTTTTCTGTGTGTATCTGGGAGGCGGAGGCATTTTAATTGTGCCTTTCTCTCCCTGTCCAGCAGTTAGCACAATTATTTGCATATTGTAGGTATTTCCTAAATGTGGAATTTAGAAAGAGCCCGATGCTGGAAATATGCTCTGGTGATGTAGGCCAAAGGTTCAAAGAGAAGGTTGCTAGGCATCAGGAGGATGGGGGAGGGGAAGTTGAGAAAGCAAAACCTGGGAACAGACAAGGGATTATTCAGTGTGCAGGTTCAAGGTTGGAGGTTCAGGTAGAAGACCTGGGAAACTGGCTTTTGAGAAAGGGTTGGCAGCTTAATAGGGCAGAGAGCTCTCAAGCAGGCTGAGGGGACCTTCAGGAGACTCCTTGGTCTGTCTCTCTCACTTTTTCCGTATTCAGTTCTTCAGAGAGTACAAATGAAAGGTTCCCTGACCCCACCCATTCGTCACAACCTTCGTATTTCCTACCTCAGGAGCTATGACTCCTCCCACCTGCACCACATCAGAGGCCCCTGCCCACCGACTCCCTTCCACATCCAGTCCTGTTGCTCTTCTTTCCCCGAAGCCCATAATCCAAAGTGCTTCCCAGCCATCAAGGTCCTCCAGCATGACCTCCATGGCTGCTCCGGTCACATTCCTCCCCTTTTTCCTTTCTGCTATGTTAGAAATACTTTTAAACTGGGCCGTGGTGGCACACACCTTTAATCCCAGCACTCGGTGGCAGAATCTCTGAGTTCTGAGTTCAAGGCCAGCCTGGTCTACAGATTGAGTTCCAGGACAGCTGGGGCTACAGGGAAACCCTGCCTTGGAAAACAAAACAAGGCTGGGCATTGGTGGCTCACACCTTTAATCCCAGCACTCAGACTGGAGAGATGGCTCAGAGGTTAAGAGTACTGACTATTCTTCCAGAGGTCCTCAGTTCAATTCCCAGCAACCACATGGTGGCTCACAACCATTTATAATGAAATCTGGTGCCCTCTTCTGACGGGCATGCAGACAGAACACTGTATACATAGTAATAAATAAAATCTTTTTAAAAATCTCAGTACTTAGGAGGCAGAGGCAGGAGGATCTCTGTGAGTTCTAGGCCAGCTTGATCTACAGAGCGAGTTCCAGGATAGGCTCCAAAGCAATACAGAGAAACCCAGTCTCGAAAGACAAAACAAAACACAAACAAAAAAACAAATGAAAAAACCAAAGCAAAATGAAACAAAAGTACTACAGTGGTGCACACCTTTAATCCTAGCACTTGGAGGTAGAGGCAGGTGGATCCATGTGAGTTTGAGGTCAGTCTGGTTACAGGGTGAGTTCTTGGACAGGCTTCAAAGCTACACAGAGAAGCACTGACTCAAAAAGACAAAAACAAAACAAATAAAATAAACAAAAATACTTCTAGGGACTGGAGAGATGGCCCAGCCGTTAATAGGACTGGCTGCTTTTCCTAAGGTTGTGAGTTCAATTCCCAGCAACTACATGGTGGCTCATAATCATCTATATAGTGGGATCTGATGCCCTCGTCTAGCATAAAGTTGTGCATGCACACAGAGCACTCATATACATAAGTGAATTTTTAAGAAAAGCTTTTCATCTCAGAGCATGTTAACTGGTCTAGCACTTGCTATCTCCTTCAGTTGGGACACTCTTCCTTCAGACATTGCCACTTCCTCCTCCTCCTCCCTGTGTCTAAATCAGGTTTCTGCTTTAATATCTTTCTGAGAGATCCTCCTTGACCAGCCCACCTAGGACAGAGTTTCTCTTCTTGCCTCACCGGCTAAACACACACACACACACAGAGTACACACCCACTACTCTTACACACTCATCACATACCTACTACACACCCCCCCACACTCACACATACCCCCACTACACACACTCACACACCACACACACACACCACACACACACTCACACACTACACACACAACACACACACACTCACACTACACACACACAACACACACACTACACACACACTACACACACACTCACACACTACACACACACTCACACACTACACACACACACTACACACACACACTCACACACTACACACACACTCACACTCACACACACTATTCCATCACCTCACTTTCTTTAGAGCACATGTCAATGTGTCATATCTGTTTGTTTCATTGTCTGTACAAGGGAACAGGGACGTTTCTTCACGTGTAGGTATTTAGGAAATAAAGGCGTCTAGTCCACAAGAGCTGAGAGACAGCAGGGCCACTGTTGTCTTGGGGGGAAAGATGGGAACATGTAGTCTATGAGAGGAGATTTTCAATACAGCACTTACATATGTGATAAATATTCAATTTGATACAATAGAAGTATTTGTAGTTCTACTACATATGCAGATCAAATGCCAAGAGTTGTTTGGGGATAAATGATAATTGCAGGGCAGACTGCCTACAAGGAATTTATAGCCAAGGGAGAGGGGAAAGGACAAACACAGACTTTTCAATTATCTGGGTATCCGCTATGTCAAGATCTTCGTTGTCTTGTACAATAGAAGTGTTGAATTTTTGGATTTTGGGGGGGGTGAGTGAATTATCTGTATATTTATTCCTGGATATGTGTGCACATATGTATCCCTGTGTGTAGAACCCAGAAGACAACAACCTCAGGCACGGTCCCTCAGGTGCCATACACTTTTTTTTTCTTTTTTTTTTCTTACTATGGGTTCTGGGAATCAAACTCAACCAGCACTTTACCAAAGAGCTATCTCCCCTAGTTGGTCCATGCTTTCTTTCGGTAAAGAATTTTGCTCTCATAGTCCAATAGCTATGCTTCTTCAGGCATAGCTATCCAACCAAGATGCTGCTTGGACATCTCAAACTCAAACCTTCATCCTCATGGTGTGAATCCTGATCTCAGTCACCAATCCTCCCTCACACTCACCTGGACATTCCACAGAGTGACTGATACCAAGCCCTGCTCTACCCGCTCTGCCCCTGCGTGGCCTTGGTTACTTCCATTTCCTGGATTTTCAGCCATTCTGAGCCATGACATCCTCAGTCCTAGGCAAGTGGTCTTATAAAATGCACATCTGTTAGCCATAGTTCCCTACTCAGACCCTTCAAGGGCATCTCCTGGCCCCAAGCTCACGGCTCAGTCCCTCACCCTTCTGCCTTCTGATTCTGTCACAGACTCCTTCTTACCAGTCTTCTAGTCTACTTGGGGCCCACAGAGCTTTCTGTCATGGGCACTGAGTCTTTCCTCTCTGGGTCTCTCATGGCCTGTTTCCAGGGCCCGTGATGTCCTCGAACCTTCCCTCCCCCTGTACTCTGCTCTGTGGAATTCTACTTAGTTTTCTCTAGGAGAAAGCTTCCTGGCCCTATCTATCCTGCCCAGCATTCCACCCCAATAACACAGGGTTGGGAGCCTTCCTCAACCGCACTTTCCAGTTATGCACTGGCTCATGTTAGTGTCCCCAAGCAGACAGGGCAGTGGGATCCGACTTGCTCTGACTGTTATGAGTCGTTTAGTACTTTGAATAAATATGGAGGTTCTTGCACGGAGAGCAAAGTCGTAAGATAATGACAGTTCATGTTTACTGAGTGGTTTTGACCTATGAGGCATTCCGCTTTACAAGTATGGCATGGACATCTCCCATAACCCTATTAAGCAGAGGTTTGTTTCCTCTTTTGTAACAGATGAGCAAACTGAGGCACAGAGAAGTTAAGCAACCAGGTTCCGGCCCACAGTTAAGAGGTGGAGGCATCTGGGTAAGAAGTCCGGCTGTTTTCGGGGTCCAGATTCTATACTAGAGTGAAACGCAGCGTGGGGGTTCACTATAAAAACAAATTGACGTCTCCAGCAAAGCGCTCTGCTATTGTTTATCGAGCAAAAGACGCGACCCCAGGACCTGGCCTTTGGGAAGGAGACACGGTGCATGAACCCGGGGTTAACTTTCCATCAGCTCATCCATCCCAGGTGGTCCGCAGCTGCGCACCAATGCATCCTAGGAGCTCCCGGGCGGTGGGCGGGGCGTACTGGGGGCGTGTCCCTGTGAGGCCACCGCCCTCGCCCCTGCTCGCCTCGCCGGGAGCTGCGGGCCAGGCCGGAGCTGGAGGGCGGGGCCTGGGGCGGGGCGGGAGCGGGGCAGCCAGAGCCGCTGCGGGAGGCGAGGAGGAAGCTGCGCGTCTTGGGAGGCGTGCGGGACACGTACCGGCGGACTATCGGCCACTGGGAACTGCGGGACCCCGGGCGAGGTGAGCGCGGACGGGCGCGGGTCGGGGTCGGGGGCACGGGGAGCGAGCGTAGCGTGGGGGATCGGCGCCCGCCCCGGGCCCAAGCCCCTTCTTCCGATCGACCCGACGCGCGCGGAGCGGGCTCGGCCGACGGCGAGCGGAGCCCCGGGCCCCCTTCTCCTCGGTTCCTTTTCTTTGCCAGCGTCTCCGAATCAACCGCCGGGGAGGTAAAACAATAGCGGGCCACCTGGGACGCGGCGCGCCCGGGCTCCCACGGCCGGCGCCCCGAGTCGCGGCCCGGTGCCAGCCCCGTGGCGACCCGCGCTGCCGAGGGTGGGGCTGCCCGCCGCGCCCCGCTCAGTGGACCGCGACGGGAAAAGCCCGCGAGTGAGAGGCATTTGGTGAAAGTGTTTTGAGAACAATCATAATTGCCCTGCTCTGGGCGGGGAAACTGAGGCGTAGGGCACGGAAGGTAAGACTTGGACAAGGTCAGGATGCACATATGGGCTGCCCTAGCCCAGGGAGGGGATCCGGGTGACTGGCCAACCTGGCGCTTCGGCCTCTCTCGGTTTTGCGGCGGCGGTTGTGTTGGCCTTCGGTAAACGTCTGCTGTGTTTGTTTTAGAAATCTGCCGGCTTTTGTGGGACCGCTCCTGGGCTACCGAATGCCAGCTTACTTCGTGTGCATTTGGGGCAGGTGACAGCACCGTGATCTATCACCATGGATGGAGATGGACTTTTTGATGAAGAAACCCGAAGTGTCTTTACCAGTCGGGTTGCTTTGACTGGCCAAGGTTTTGACAAAACCTGCTTAGTTCCCTCTGGGGGACACGAATGAGAGATCTCAGACACCTTCACTGCGAAGCCAAGGACATTTCTGTATAATCAACGGATGAAAGGATTTCCTCAGACTCGCTTTTCTCCCATTTTCCTTGAGGATTAATCCAGCAGAATCCACAGTTCCGGTGGAGACTGCAAGGCATACAATGTGGCAGAAGCCTAGAGCGCCTTCGGAATTGCTCTGGACCCTGCCTTTAGCATAGAGGACTCTGTCGCTCATGCCACTCCCCTCCCCTGCCCCCAACTCTCTCCTGTCTTTGACTGGTTCTCGTTTTCCCGGTGAAGTTGTTTCCAGACTGTCCCCTGGAGCTATAAGTGGATCGGCAGTGATGAGAGACTAGGCGTTGGGAGAAGCACGGTGCCCTGTGCTGTGTCCTCTGCCTGCTGCAGCCGCCGACATGAAGTGCTTTTTCCCAGTGTTGAGCTGTCTGGCTGTGCTGGGTAAGTGACTGCTGATCACTTCTGTGGCTGTGAAAGTTCAACCTTCTCTCATTGCTAATTCCTGGTGATTCTCTCCCATCAACATTGGGTGTTGGGGGACAGCAAGGGGTAGCCAGAGTGTGCCAGAGTAGACAAAAGTACAGCTGACCTAGGAAGCATGGTGGAATGCTGGTAGTGTTTCCTGCCCTGGGCCTTTGGGTGAAGCCCCTGTGGCTTAGGGATGGTGCGTGGGTTGAGGCTTCCAGTGTTTTCACTTTTGTGTTGGTCTCCATTGGTTCCAGGGAAGTTACAACATAATTCCCACTCTCTTGGGAAAGGTGGTTTGATGTATGACAGTGCCTTTTTTTATTGTTGTTTTTGGAGGGGGAAGGGGGAGTAGTGGGTGGGCTAGGGGGTAAAGGAAGGCTTTGTCTGGTCTAAGAAGTCTGTAGGCTGAGTGTGTTTGAAGACACTAGTCTTGTGTCTCCGCACCAAGGAAGCCCAGCTCGTGGGCCTTGTAGGAGGTGTGTGAGGATTGGTTTTCATACCCGCAGAGAAAAGTGCGAAGGAAGAGTCGAGGAAGAAACTGCGGTCTCAGAAGTGAGCTCCTGACGCCTCCCTCTTCAGGCTCCCATATCTAGTGTAGGTCTCACCCCCTTGTCCTTTCCTGTTAAGCCATCGAGCACACGCTGTGTGTCTTCCAGTGCTTCAGTGTGTAATAAGCTGGACAGCCAGCACCTAGTGCATTCTCTCTCCTCAAGAATGGACACACCCCCTGCATTCTCTGTGTGACCGTCCTCCGGATTCAGAGAAGTTATCGCTGTGGGCCATTGCTTCTCCCTTCTAGGTGTCTTGCACTTACGGAATGTATCCCTGGAGATTGTCTCTGAGTTATCTGCACCCGTACAAAAGTTGACAGGTGTATGGAATGAGGATGGACTTTGTTAGAGTCTTGAATTCTTATCTCAGTCTCATCTTGATTGCCATCTGAATCTTAATAAAACATCCCAAGACTGCAATTAAGGGATGTCCTGAAGTCTTGACTGCCTTGCAATGTGTTTGAAACTCATAACCAATGTGTTCGTTCGGTGGTGCTCAAACTTGGGTATAGGCTGATGTCATTAATATATCTTTTAAGAAAAATCTTGATAGTCAGGTACTGCTCACACCAGTGGCAGCCAGTTCTCTGGAATGGGAGTGGAGTCTTTGGCTGAGTAGGGAAACTAGTGTGTGAGTACATTAGTGCCAGCACTTTCCTGCCCACCACATAGGCATGCATACCTCTGTCTGTCTGAGAGTTTAGTCAGTGTGTCCTGTTGTTGGGATACAGCATCCCCGTGTCTCCTGTGTGCTGGGTAAAGAAAAGTGGGCAGATCGGTTTCCCTTGGCCGGTCTCTTAGACTATATTTATATGTGTTGTACAGTATTTGTCATTGCGTCTCAGCTTGAATCAGCAGTTAGTGATTCATGGAGATTGGAGAGGACACAAACAGACCCCCCCCCCTCCAGTCTCACTTCCCAGGCTTGGGTGTGTGGCTGAGGGGATGGGTGGGGCTCAGGGCAGAAGGAGCTACCAATGGGAATACAGGGAGCTATGACATTTGTGCCTTGGCTTTTCTTTCTTTTTTTGTTTGTTTCTTTCTTTCTCCCTTCCTCCCTCCCTCCCTCCCTCCTCCCTCTCTCCCCCTCCCTCTCTCTCTTTCTTTCTGTTGAAGAAATGTGGGGCTGCCTGCTGGCATCCCTGCTGTTCACTCTCCAGGTCCCTCTGTGGAGGGGAGCCGGGACCCTGGCACCCAGTGACTGTTGTAATTTTCCTTCACCCCCAGCCTCGTGTGCAAAGAGGGACCCTGAAGGAAGCCGAGTGTCCAGGTGTCTGTAAAGGGCTCCTGGGGTGGAGCGGAGATGTTGGGAACTGTGGACAGGCACACTGATGCCTGCCCCCCCTTCTGAGCCCTGCAGGAGCACTCTCATCTGATAGCGGCAACAGGACCAGGGAGGCTTGTCTTCTACTAGTCTCAACCTGGGGGAAGCACAGGGCGTGTGGGGAGGGAACAAAACTGCACTTCAGACTTATTTCCTGCTTGCCGCTTCGTGTGGCCTGATTCATGGGTCAGCATTCTTGCTGTGCAATGGGAATTAATGTGTAGTGTGAATTTAAAACAGCAAAGACTCCTGAGGATTCGAGCCCATGTGGGTCACACCTCGAATAAAATTGTGTAAAAGTTGAGTCAGGCTGAGTGCTTAAAAGTGAGACTGATAGAGGAATCACCTTCCAGAAGCGGCAGTTTGAGTTAGAAAATCCTGTGACCATCTGTGATGGCTGACGCTGTGAGATGTGTGTGACCCTTAGGCCTCACATTTCTGTTCCCTTCCTTTGCTGGAGTGCGGAGTTTGGTTCAGATTCCTCTTTTATTGCCTGTTTAGGACACTGACAATGCAAGTCTCTGTCCCTATCCTCCTGACTGCCTAGTCTCCCGTCCTTTTCCTGTCCCAGGTGGCTCTTCCAGTGTCCAGCCATTGGCGGCTACCACCCCCCTTGTTCCCATTCCGAAGGCATCTTAGGCCTGGACTGACGGACAGGAGAATCTCCACTGACAGGAGTGGATGGAGCCAGAGGGACGGAAGACGAGAGAGATATTGAGGTTCATCCGAGTGTGAAGAAGAGGGCATGGGGTGGGAGAGATGGGGTGCCTGGCACCGTGTCTGTGCCTGGGTGCAGCCTGTGTGAGTAAATGTGACGTGGAAAGCTGGCAATGGTGTCTCTAACAGAAGAAAGTATGGGTTGTGTCTTCTTAATCAGGAAGGGACCACTCCAGAAAGATGCATGTAGGCTGTGGACACAGAAATCATGGTTCAATTTTATATACCATGAAGACTTACAGCTCCCAGAGCAGTGTGGGGTGTTGCAAATAAGATGAAGGAGCTTTGAAAGCGTTAGCAGTGAGAAGTGTGGGAGATGAGCCTCCCCTGGGTCAACACAGAACATCGGGATGGTTAGCGGGCATTTGTGTTCTCCAGTGTACCCACGCACTCTTTGTAGGGTCTGGAAAGCCTTGCGTTTGAACAGGGTGTGATGAAGTTATCACTTACTTCCAGTTATTAGGGAGAGGCCAGAGGGTGCTTCCCAACGAGGTGGAAGGAAACTTTGATGTACTGGTAGGCTTGAGCTCAGAGGCAAGAGCATGGTGATCAAAGCAGAAGAGAAGGAGGGAGCAGGTGACAGGAGGGGGTTTACATCGTTCAGGGGAGGGGAGGGTTCTAAAGCAGGAACGGGCACGGTGACTGATGACGAGCCAGCACCACTACCCAAACACTGCTTCCTAAGACCATCCCTGAGGGTGCTGGAGAAAGTCAGGAGGACTGGACTGGCCAGGGTGCCTCCCTCATTATAACAGAATACCCGACATCACTAACCTAGAAAAGGCTCATTTGGGCCTTACAGCTTAGGGCTTTGCACTGTTACTTTGGGGCAGAGAGTGCGTCATGGTGACATTGCAATGGGGTGGGGGGCTGGCAAAACTGCTTTCCTCATTGCCAAGGATGAAAAAGGAGGACAAGGAGCTGTGTTGTATTGCACTTGTTAAAGGCATGCCCTCAGTGACCTGAAGACTTCCCACCAGGCCCCACCTTGGGAAGGTGCTGCCTGCTACCAGTACTGCCACCCTGTGGTCCTAACCTTTGGGTGTATAGGGGTCATTTAAGATCCAAACAATGGCATTTTTAGACTGTAAGAGTGGTTTGAGTCACCTCTCTGTACCCAGGGCTGTGTCCTGCCCCCTTTGCTACACGGTCCGTTGCAGCAGGGCTACAGTTATTCTGTAGGAACGGTAACACCAGTTCTCTAAACTCCAGTCCTTATTACGAGCCAAGCTTATTGTTCAGTCCTCAAGGCAACCTTAGGCATTAGGTGCCTTACATTTCCATCCCTTTATAGACGGGGGTGTTGAAGTCCAAGGAGATGTTAAGTAATTTGCCTAAGATGGATTGCTGGCCAGGGTAATGGATTGCACAGTATTTGGGCCCCAGGCTCCTTCAGGCTTGTTTCTTGTGTATGGCATTTATTCTCAGGATTACCTCAGGGTCCAAAACGACCAATTTGGCTCTAGTCTTCAGGAGGGAAGAAAGGAATAATGAAGGATTCATGATGAATCTTGTATGTTAAGGATACTTACCAGAAGATATGTACATTTCTTTTGCTGGTATTCTCATTGGCTTGAACTTGGGCATAATGGCTATACTTAACTGCAAGAAAGGCTGGGGAGGATGCTCACTCTGAGTGCCGGGGCCATGCTTAAAGCCTGTACTTACATTGTTTTAAGGAGAGTGCAGGTTTTGGTGGACAAATACCGGTTTATACCATTCTGCCATAGCCACAAACTTATGAGTGGCTGAGTATAGTACTGAAGTCAGGCATGTCAGTTTTTTTTTCGTCATACAAGCAGTACCTTCTGAGAGCGAGGCCCAGACTCTGGTCAATAAGGAGCCTTGTTGGGAAGACATGAGCTAGACGAACCAACAGTTGTGCGGCGGAAGCAACATAAGCCAGCATATAATTACAAAGAGCATGTGTGGCTTTCACAGTGAATACTGTGTTTATAGGGTGTTACGTGCCAACACTTCCCATAGTGTGGCTTTCAGTATAAAGTGCTTGAGGATGGTCTCTACACGAGCCCCAGAACAGTCTTGTGCCTGCCACCAAGGAAGTAGGTGAGTGCATTCAAAGGTAAATAGGCATGCTTTGGTTTGCTTTGCAATGCTGGCAATGGATCCCAGGCACCCTAGGTACAGCAGTGATTACCACTGAGTTATGTTCCTAGCCCTCACAAAGTAAATACTGTTTTCCTATTGGCTGCCAAGTCACAGTTTGCTCTAGAACAGTGGTTCTCAACCTGTGGGTTGACAACCCTTTTGGGGGCCACATATCCAGATAGCCTGCATATCAGGTATTTACACTATGATTCATAATACTAGGAAAATTACAGTTTTGAAGTAGCAATGAAATAGTTCTATGATAGGGAGTC